CTGCTTCTTTCTCAGCTTCTGCTCCGTCCCCATGACGCCGCCCTTAAAAGCCCAGTCTGAGACCAGGTGAATCCCATCTACATCAGCCCACACCCTATTCCAGGTGCCCACCGTCAGGCATGCATTCAGGACCGCAGGGTTCCGTCATCTATCCTAATGGAGGGAGGGCAGAAAAGCCTGATACTTTTTACCTTACCCTACACCATTTTACAAATAAGGAAAGTAAGGCCCAAAGAAATTCAATAGTTTGCTGATGATAACATGGCTAATCAGCAGCAGGCCTGGCTGACAGTCATTGTTCTTGGATACTTTGGTACTTGTGAGAATGTGGGTGCTGACTACACCTGTGATGCCCAACTGGCAATTTGTTACTGCAAAATGGAGGTTTAGAAGTCGAAGGCAGGATGGGCTGGTTTGTGATGAGCCAGGGGACTTGGCTTTTTCTGATTTGCAAAAATAAACAGAAAATGGCTGCTGAATGAGAGACCCATCCACAAGAGTGAGCTTAACAGGAAACATGACTTAGAAGTGACATCTCTTGCCTGAGAGAGCTGGGTGCCGGTGTCACAGACAGGAAGGAGATAATAATCTGAAGCTGAAAGAGATTTTGAAAATCTCAAATCGTGACTGAGGGGTGGAAAAAGCCCTGGGAACATCTGTAGGGGGGAGTGAATCTTCCAAATTTTCCATTCTCTTTTTTGGAATTTGGATCAGTCAGGCAGCCAAGCATGGAGTCTGTCCACATTTACCAAGTACCTTTTTCACGAAGTACTCTTTCTAAGGCTGTAAAGTTCCTAGTTGTGAACCGAAAATAAGTACTGGTTTTATTTAATGTTTACAAGACTGGGTTCTCGTGAAGAAAAGTGTTTTGTAAATTCCACACACTATCTAATGATAGGAAAAGCTATTTGAAGAATGACAAAAGCACCCCTCCCAAATTCCACACTAGAGTTTGAGGAGTAATTGGATCTGTCCTACTAAAGAATTTAAGTCATTGAGGGGCAACTGCTGCTCTCTGGACACAGCTGGTCCCAGTCTTCTGGACTATTTCACTCTTCCTTGTGTTTGTGAGCCCATGTGATTCTACCACCTCCCCTTAAAGCCTGATCCATCCTGGCAAAAAAGTAATACAAACACCAGGTGACATATATTTACATAAGCTACAAGGCTGTGCAAACAAACTCTTAACTGTTAAAGGCCATTGTATAAATGCTCCTTTTTACCTTTGTTATGGGGCCATACACATCAAAAGTTTCTCCCATATTCTTTAAAAGCCCATATCCTCACTCTCCTAGATGCTTTCCAGTTTTCTCCTCCTGCATAACACACTGAGATCTCCCTCAATTAATCCCCACACCCTTTTGCTCACTATGTCAAATTTTAAATAATGTGTCAGTTTTAAAATAAAGAATGTTAACTTTTCCTAGTGTCCCAAAAGTGCCAATTAGCTAAGAATGCCTATTTCCATGAAGGGGTTAAAGTTGGTTCTCTTTTGAAGACATTTTTCTTTCACTTCCATGGGTTCCACCTTGTACATCGTTGGTTGCAAAGCTTTTTAGGCTTCACCAACTTTTGTCCTGATGGTTTTGTAGAGATTAGTGAAAATTTGACTGAACTACTGGCTAGAAATTGAATTTCAGCAAAAGAGAAAAAGCTGCTTATTATTTAGTAAATCAAAAAGAACATGTTCTGGTTCTTCATTGTGCACTTTTAGAAAGCAATGTTAGCTTGAAAACAAATAATCCAAGGAAATGAAACCCAGAAAATGCTGAACATTTTTAAAGTCAGTATTTCTTGAGTACATTGCTTCTTAATGACAGTTAATAGTCAATCTTGACTTTTTATAAAGGCTTGGGGCATCAGGAAGGTAAAAACCGTGTTATTGCCAGTAATCCACTACAAATAATTGACTTGATGACATTTCAATATAACAGAAGGTCACTGATTCTTTGTCTTTTTTTCTTTGTTCCTGGTTTTCAAAATTGGATGATTAGTGATGACCTTTAGCTTGTCATGTTCTTTATGCCAGGGCCAAGAACAATTCACAGGTATTATTTATTTAGCTGGCTTCATCATTACAGCTACTGCAGAGGGGTCAGCATGGAACTGATGCAGGTCCATGAAATAAAATTAAATACTGTACACAAATGAACTCACTTGTTTTCACAGCATCCATGTAAAAGTTAATAAAAGAACCAGAATATTATCTTTATAAATAAGGAAAACTGAAGGAATAAAAGACAAATAACATATTCAACCTTTATTGAGCATCAATATTGAGCAAAGGCATGGTGCTGAGTTTTAGAACATACATATAATAAAGTGTAGGGTAAGGCAAAAGTATCAGGTTTTTCTGCCCTCCTGCCATTAGGATAGATGAGGGAACCCTGTGGTCCTGAATGAATGCCTGATGGTGGGCACCTGAAGTGAGTATAACTGGGCTGAGAGACTAAGTTTATAAGGGTGGCGTCGCGGAAACACCAGCAGAAGCCAAGAATAAAAGGAAGCAGGAGAGCAGAGAAGCAGAGAGAACACGAGAGAACGCCAGAGAGCCCAGATAGAGTGGAGATTTGCTGGGGGCTTGGAGGACTGACAGCTTTCCAGCCCCCCAGCACCCCTGCCTGCTGTATACCTGGTAAAACTAAATAAAAAGCCTGCAAGGGCCTCCCCGGTGGTGCAGCAGTTGGGCGCTAGGTTGCGGGGCTGTCCGCTGCCTCTGCAGTGCTGGTTCGATCCCCGGCTGCTCCCCGGCCACCGGAGGAGGGTCCCACATGGCGCGCAGACCTCTCCTGCCGCCCGCTGCTCCCCTCAGCAGTGTACTTCGGTCCTTCTGCCTGCTCTGCTCCCCGCTCTGGCTCTGGTGAATTCTCTCACCCTCCCGCGCTTCTGACTGTGCCCAGTGCCTGTATAAATAAATAAAATAAATAAATAAATCTTTTTTTAAAAAAAAAAAGGTCTGCAAAAGCCACTGAGGGCTCCAGGACTCTGTCTCCTCCTTTACCCGGTCTGCATGGGATCAGAAAACCTGCCCAGTGTCCTGTCCTGCCCTTTACCTGCCCCTGTCCTGTCCTCCAAACTGTCACAATCTCATAGACATTGCAGACGATTAAAAACATAATAATAAAGACAGAATACTGGGAAGAAATGGGGAGAGGGCGATTTGGAAGGGTTTTGTGGAGTTGGGATCTGACCTAAGACTTAATGGGTAGTGCGTGTTCTACAAAAAAAGTAGGATAGCAGAGGGGATAATAAGAGCAAGGGCACAGAAAGAATATGAGAATCTGTTATCACATGGGACTGGATGATAGGGCATGGGCGAAGGGAGATGTGATGTTCAAGGGTTTGCCCATGTCCTTGCATGCCAACTGGAAGAAAAGTTTGGTGGCAAATAAATAATTTAGGAGGCCATTGCAATGGCTCAGGAAAGAGGTAGTGGAGGCTTGAACAGAGCAGATCTGGGAGCAGAAATGAAGGCAGTGACAGAAGTAGAAACTATAGAACTTGGCACTGATTGGGCATGGACCATGAATGAAGGTGAGTTGAAGATGATTCTGATGCATTAACTGAACAAAGAACGTAGTACATTTAAGCTACCTTCAACCTAGCATAAAGCTCGGCATGAAGAAAAACAGGTGAGGAAATTTGTATTAGGAAGGGGGAAAGGTGAGCCTAGAGATCAGGATATTGATGTAGAAATCAACCACAGGGATGTGATAATTAAATCTACAAGTGGAAGAAATCACAAGGAATAAAGGACAAAGAGAAAAGAGACAAAAAAATCTTAAAATGGAAGGAACACTTACATTTTAAGAGAAAGGGCGAGTAAAGAAAGATGAGTCATAGATGCCACCACGTGACTGTCACATTTCCTTTATCCACAAGGAAAGCAGAGGATGCAAGGTGATAGAAGTCTAGGAAGAAAAGTTTCCAGAAAGAAAGTTGAACATGCCTGAGGGAAGGAGTAAGAAATTCTACTGCAGTCAGAAATGTTACATCCAGCTCTGCAACTCTGCACCTATCTATAGAATTGTCACACAAGAAAAACAATGTGTCACTGTACCAATGGTTAACCTGGGCATCACTCATCAAAGCAAACTGCAAGGTTCAATGTCCTTCCTTAAACTTTCCCTGCAGCTGACACTGCTCTCCTGACAGTGTGTTATTAAAGTAAACTATAGTTAACCATGCACAAGGTCTCCCAAGCATTCCTCACCCCCCAGGGGCGGCGCAGTGGTCACAACTGGGCCTTCAGAGGCTTGTTGGAAACCAACCCAGAGGTTAGTGACAGACCTTGCTACCTAACTTTTCAGGCCTCTGTTTCCTCGTTTGCAAAATGAGGACGGTGGTACTTACCTACGAGAGTTGAGAAGAGTGCATGAGAGACCATTAACAAAACTCAGCCCACTGCCATCAAAAGCTCAATTCATTTTGTTGTTACTGCTTTTGCAATCTCCCCGAGGGCAGAAGCCTAACCAACACTATTCCCTAAGGCATGGGGACGAGTGAGTCGCTTTCTGTAGCCCTCAGAGAAACATCATTCCCAGGAGGAGGAAACATGCTGGCGGATTCCCGGGATTCGAAGGCCCGGTCAGGAAATCCTGGCTGCACCGTGCCTGAGCTGCTGGAACCCGGGACCCGCCGGGGGTCCTCGGAGGACCACATCTCCCAGAGTGCAGCGCTCCGAGAGGGCAGGCGCGCGGGTCGGGCGGCGTGGGATCGCGGTGCATGCCGGGACTGGTAGTCTTCAGGTGGCAAGTTCACGGGTCGGGAGAGAGAGAGCCCGAACGAGAGTCCCTGCCCCGTCCCGCCTTTTGTCCACGTCTCACCTCTCCCAGCCAATGCCCTCTCTCGTCCCGGGAGCCCGCCTCCCTCCCGTCTGGTCCCCGTTGGCTCTGAGGCTCCACGTCCCGGACCCCACCCGGAAGTAGCGTGGGGGAGGCGGTTTCCTAGACTACGACACCGGAAGCCGGGGGAGGCGCTCGTCTGCCGAGGGCGGAGGGCGGAGGGCGGCGGCAGCAGCAGCGCTGGCGCTGGGGACCGGCTCGGTGTCTTCGGGAGACAGTTGGGCGACGGCGGCCGCTAGCGCTACTCAGCAGCCCGCCCTCGGCACGGCTCGCAGCCCCCTCGCCGCCGGCGTCCGGCAATGTGTCCCACCGGCCGGGCGTAGCCGCTGCGCGTGCGCGGAACCGCGGGGCCATGAGCGGAGCCGGCGGACCGGGCTGCGGGTCCCCGGTGCCTCTGCGAGCGCCATGGAGCCTGCTGGCGGCGACGGCCGCGCTCTGCCTGGTGGCGGCCACGTCCGTGTGGACGGCGGGGGCCGCGGCCATGAGTAGGGAGGAGAAGCAGAAGCTTGGGTAAGGGTGCAGGGCCGCCCGGGGTGGGCTTCCTCGAGGGACCGGCCGCGGGCGGGGCGCCTGTCACTGCCACCGGGCATGCTGGGGCCTGTCCGGGCGCGTTGGGACGGCGGTGGGCGCGCGCGGACCCCGGCGGGTGGACGTGGCGCGGGAGGGTGAGGGCTGCCTCCCGCCGTGCGCCGTCCGGGGCGGGGGGTGTCGCCCGGCCGGCGTGACCTGTGCGGGCGCCGTGGGCTTGGCCACCCGCGGGGGTCAGCGCGACCACCCGGTCAGGGGCCCGGCGGAGCCGGCAGCCCGCGGCGCTGCGCGCGAGCCCCGCGCGTGTGTGTGGTCGGGGACGGGGTTGGAGTGTCTTCCAGGGGAGCTCCCGCCTGGGAAAATGTTGCTGATCTCGCAGCAGTTAAGGACATAGTGTGTACACCTGTTACGGGAGACGCGCGCATTGGAACTTGGACTTTACACCTGTTAGCGTTTTCTTGCTGTGCATTTTCATGGTGGAACCGTGTTGGATCATCAGCCGAAAGCTGTAATGAGAGTACCTGTTCATTTACTCGAAGTGATTTTATCTGTCTTTGAAGTTTATAAAATCAGCAGTTGTATTTACAGTGCCCCACACGTGAATCAGGAAAAAGTCGAGACCCAGTCATAGCAAATGGGCGAAAGGGCCCGAGGAGTTAATTCAATTCACTCGAGAGGAAATGCAGATGGTCAATAAAAATGAAAAGCTGCCCAGCCTCCTAATTGTGAGAGATGGAGATCGAAAGGAGGAGATGGCTAGTTTGTGCCCTTAGATTAGTAGATACTGAACGCATGGATACAGTGTTGGGTAGTTCAGGTGAGAAAAAACTTGGCGGATGTGTCAATTGCTATGACTTAGTAATGATATCTCCTGAAATTTAAATTGTGTGCACTGTTTGAGTCATCATTCCCATTTCGGAGAAGCTACCATATAGTAGATGAAAGCACTATGTATGGATATAGAGATAGGTGTACAAGAATTTTGAAAGAATGCAAGTGTTTCTTGGAGCATCCACTTTCTGAAATAATTCAGATATTAAAGAGGAAGGAGATCTTGAAAGACTAGCATATATTAAGACAAAAAAATACAAGTTGCAAAATATGTATAATACCATCCGTTTTTGCTTTCAACAGAAAAATTGTCTAAGCTCAGGAAAATATGGCAAGATGATTACCTCATGGGGTTGGGATGGAGGGTAGGTGGAATCATCAGGTTTTATTTGCTTCCTTGTTTAAGTTGTTGCAAGAGTCACATACTAGTTTGTAGGTAAAATAGCAATAAAAGTGGCTTGATGAAAGAAAAATAACTCTCAAGTACCTTTTGTTTTCTTTCTGAATTTAATGTGTCACTGATAAATGTTTTACTGAGTATCCTACCCTGTTAGCAGGAACTTTGCGTATGTTCTCTTATCCGCTATTTCTTAATAAGGTGAATGTTATCCCCATTTTGTAGCTAAGAAAATTGCCACTCATGGCAGACTTATTCAGTCGTGTAGTTAGTGAATGGTGGAATCAGTATTGAGACTCAAGTCTGTGTGGCCTCAGAACCAATGCCCTCACTACCATACCATGTTGCATGGCTGTAAGACTTGAAAAGAAAAACTTTAGATCTCTTAACAATTACTTGACCACTGCCATCCTTTCTCCTCTTTATATTGAAAAGCCAACCAAGCTGGCTTGAATTTTTAACTCAAATATTAGGCATCTTATGAAAAATTTAGGTCTCTTATGAAGTGAAATTACAATTATTGAGGCTTGTTGATTTAGCTTGCCCTAAGACTACAGTAAGAGTCTAAAGCTATAACCCACAAATAACAATGATTTGACTGTTTTCCCCTCAGGGATTTTCAGGAAACTGAACTCTGACTTATTACTATCTACCTGTTTGATTTTTTTTGAAAGCCCAAATAATGAATTATGATAAAAAGGAGAAAATGCCCCACCCCTTTCCCAAACCAATTAAAAGATAAAGCTCCATTGCTTGCAGTTGTTTTTTATTTACCTGATTATGTAGTCTTATTTTGTCTTTGTATTTCAAAAGTTATAGCAGAAGATTTTGTTAATGTTGTCTCTTCATTAAATGAAAATATACACCTAATTTCTTTTTTTTTTTTTTAATTTATTTATTTATACAAGCACTGGGTACAGTCAGAAGCACAGGAGGGTGAGAGAATTCACCAGAGCCAGAGCGGGGAGCAGAGCAGGCAGAAGGACCGAAGTACACTGCTGAGGGGAGCAGCGGGCGGCAGGAGAGGTCTGCGCGCCATGTGGGACCCTCCTCCGGTACCGGCGCTGCAGAGGCTGTGGGCAGCTTCGCAACCCAGCGCTCAACCGCTGCGCCACTGGGAAGGCCCAATATACACCTAATTTCTATAGCTTGACAGGCAAAGTATTTTTATACAAGAACCAGGGTACAGGCCAGATGTGCGAGCAAGACAGAGCGGGAAACAGAACAGGCAGACCAACTGAAATACACTGCTGAGGGGAGCCATGGGCGAGGCAGGAGAGGTCTGCCCCTCCATGTGGGTAACTCCGTGGTTGGCTGGGATCGAACTGGCACTGCAGAGGCTGCAGACAGCTTCACAGTGGCTGCGCTCAACTGCCTGTGCCACCAGAGAGGCCCACAGGCAAAGTTACTTTAAAATAAGTTGACTTATGGACATTATTTTAAAATGAAGAGAGACACATACCTTTGAACTGTGGATCTGATTTCCAATACATTTTATCCAGTTGTTGACATAAACCTTGTAGAAGCATTTTCTGTTTAATACAAGTAATTCTGCCATTTTGTACTTAAATGCGACTTTGTTAGAATTTATATGTCTAAGGGAGAGTACAAAGTGGAGATATTAAATATGTCCACTTCAAAGTGTGTGTTGTGAAATTTGCTGATCATGTGCTGCATGTAAATCATACAGTCATGATTTACTCAGACTCGAAAACTGAGAGCAAAGTTGGTTTAACAAGTTCAAGCTAATGTTATCTGTAGTATACTGTCTAGGCACTACCATTACTAGTTACAGGAATTTCTACTTCTTGGTAATTTTGTATTCCCTCTCAGGGGAAGGAAGAAATATTTCCATATTCCATTTATTGATACCAGTGCTTGAAAGGGAAATTTAAACTTTTTTTTTAGCTAATTTGAGAGATCCTTATTATCTGCAATATAATAAATATTAAGAAGGATGCTGTAAGATACATAATTTTCCGAGATAACTTGATTTGTAGTCTGCCGTATTCTGTCATACATAAAAACACATAAAGATTTAATGTTTTAGCAAAGTGATTACATCGTGTTTTATTGATTACGTGCTCTTAACTGGTTGTTATTCATAAAAAGTTGTCAAGACTTAATATATTCAGTTCACAGGTTTGATTGTACTTGAATTTGCTGGTCATTATAACCACTATCCGGAAATTATTTCTTTTTTATTTGCTACCAGTATTATGCCAGTATTTAATCTATCATGATTACAGTTTTTAAAATGACAACTGCTATATAAGAGGAGCCAAAACTAAAACATAGCCAGCCATTTTCTTTAATACTTTAAGTCTTCACCTTAGGCAGTAGAACTTTGGGAATAATAGTAAGTTAATAAAAGATTATTAAACTATTTGGCCTTTGCTAATTATTACGAGATTTCACCTGGTCAAATCATAACACTGACTTACAGTTTTTCCTATAGCTCTCAACCCGCCAAACTTGAGAGTGTTTAATTGAAAGACTGATTCCTTTTTTTTTTTTTTAAAGATTTATTTATTTATACAAGAACTGGGGTACAGGCCAGAAGCGCGGGAGGGTGAGAGAATTCACCAGAGATAGAGCAGGGAGCAGAACAGGCAGATGGACCAAAAGCACTGCTGAGGAGAGCAGTGTGTGAGACAGGAGAGGTCTTCTGCGCCACGTGGGTATCTCCCAGCTGGCGGGGAATCAAACCCGTGCTCCAGAGGCTGCAGACAGCTTCACAGTGCTGCACTCAACCCACTGTGCCACCAGGGAGGCCCCTGATTCCTTTCTTATTACTAAGATTCTGACTTAGTAAATCTGGTGTGGGGATCAGTAGACTTGATTTTAAATAATCATTTTGGGGATTTTGAAAAACAGGAGTTAACCAAAATAGACTTTAAAAAAAAAAAATAGTCTCATTTTAGAGGTGAATATTATTTATTTGACTTTCTGTAATTTTTTTTATAAAGGAACAGAGTACATCATAAAATCATAAACAGTATCTTTTGAAAATGTGATTTTATTCAGTTTGAGAAGAAAGGCAGAAGGTTGTTTGATTATTGTTATTTTACATCAATATATACACCCACCAATCCCTCTTTATAGAATATATAGGATAAGCAGTAAATGGTACCATAATTTTTCTTCTGGAACTCTCTAGAGTTTTGTTAAATAATTTTATTAAGAAGTACTTATTGATAATTTTCAGCATCGATATTCTCTGCATGACCTGCATCGGTGATCAGTTTCCTAGGAGATATATATTATAAGGTTTGTTGTATATAAATTGCTAGGAATAGTAAAAGTTTGATCTGGCTCTGTGTGGTGACTGATGAAAGCTTGTTTACTAACAATGATGTATTTCCTAACCCGGTTTTTCCCCTTTCTAACTAAATTTTCTTTTGTTTTTTATTGGTTTATTTTTATGAAGGTGCACTAACTTTCTGAAAGACTTTAAATACAATATACTTAATTTTTTTTTCCATTTCTGCTTTTTTTAAATTAGGAATCAAGTACTGGAAATGTTTGATCATGCATTTGGTAACTATATGGTAAGTAAAAAACTTATCTTTACATAATATTTATGTAAACTTAATATTAGGTGAAACAGTCAACTGAAAATTTTGAAACCTAGATTAATGGCACACTTTAAAAAAAAAGTATAAACATAGGCTAACAGAATATTCTTGGTAATGGTTCTTTGGCAAACAGTGTATTGAATAGGTAAGAATAATTGAATTAAGTTATGAAACTTTGTGTTTGAACAATTTTCTTTGATTCTATTGACTGTGTTTATTGAGTGCTTCATATTGGTAGATACTGTAGATGTAAACATGAATAAGTTGTTCTCGTCGACCTTAAGAGAAATTATTCTAATTAAAAAAAAACACAACTTTATGCACTATATGAAGAAAACCATTGCTTAAAAAAAAGCCAAATTATCACCTAGTCTCTGTTCAAAGTATGTATGCATAGAGGGCTTTGATTTGACTATGTTTTGCATTCTAGACGCTGTACCATATTGTTTTAAAATGTTCAGCTATTTAAAATAAAATAGCAGTTTCAGTTTTACAAAATGGATAGGCTCTGGAGATCTGTTGCACAATGCAGTATATTTAACACTACTGAACTTAAACATGGTAAATTTTATACTTTGTGGTTTTTTTTTTACCACAATTAAAAATTTTAAAACCTTAAAACAAAAATGAAACAATAAATTTTAGAGTTCAAAAGAAAATTTTACATGTACATTTATTTTTGAAAAGTTTGAATTCTGAACATTGCTTCTTAAGACTTTTCATACTTTAAAACATATTAGCAGCGTTTCTTTTATGATTAAGGATATGAAATGCAGTTGGAGAAATTTGGCAAAGAACCCGTATTAATTGATTCTGCTTTTAATGTTTTTCTACTGGTTATCTGAATCTATTTTTCACTATAAACCAAATATCTTCATCTATAAGGATTATCTAAGTATATGTACTTTTATGCATTTTTGTATTTCTGATTTTTGTGTTTTATACTTGATAGTCCTTATTTCTTTTCATAATGTATGTTTTCTAGGAGTATATGTTGAGTTCTTAATACATATTTTTGGAATATACTGGTAATGAAATTTGGGTATTTTAAACCATATTGAAAACGCAATTTTGAATTTATTTCTCAAAAGCACAGCCATTACCTTAATATTTCTTTCAACATCATTTATCCCTGGTTAATTGTTTTGAGCAAAGCATAGTTTAGCAAATCTAGGATGATGATTATAAGGTGACCAAGTGGAACCACATTACACCGTCAAACCTCAGCCATTTCATAAGTATATAATTTTGGTTCCATGTTGAAAAAATGTGAAGAGCTGCATCAGTTCATTATATCTCACTGGAAAGAATGCTCTCTTTGTAAAGTACAGCATCTTTACTATCTTGTCCCTTATTAGGTAAACAGCAATAAATTCTATCAATACATTTTCCCTACTACATACTGCATTTAATAAATGGTTTGTGACAAAGCAGTTTGTTGAGGACCACCTTCAGAGGACTTCCTGGTTTGGTTCCTTTTCTCTAGACTCTAACTGGATAACATTGCTATAGCTACTTACCTAAAAGATCTGAAAGGGATTTCGACCTCAAAGACTGAACTGGAATTAACATCCACCAATTTTCCAGTGGAGCCACTCCTATCTGCATATTTTTAAATGTTCAGTAATTTTACAATGTAAGTGTCTTGCAGTATACTTGTGTTATATTCAGTTCATGTGAGGTTTGAACCCAAGATTTAGTCCAGAATTTACACTTCCTCTTTCCGGTTCTCAAAATGAAACAATTCTAAAATACTAAGTAGAGACCAGGTGCCCCCTGTGTTGGTTATTTGAAGTCAGTTGAAAAGTTTTTCTATTTGCTATTCTCACACACACTGTTAGCTTGCTGCAGAATAGAAGTATATAGGTTTAGGAATTAGATGGGTTTGAATTCAAACCCTGTCTCAGCTGTGTACTAACCTGAACCCTAGACAAATCACATAACCCCTCGAGCAATGTCTCTTCCTATGTAATATTCGATAATTTTAAGAGTCTCATGCTCTGCCGACTTAGCTAGCTGGGTGGCTTATGTCAATTTTAAAGGGTTATCGCTTTCTATAAGATTTTTGAGAATGAGGCCATTTCCTTTAATTTTCAAAGAATTAGTCTTTCATATGTTCTGTGCCTAGCATATAAATGCTTATTAAATGTTATTTTTTGGGTTACAATGAGAAAGTTATCTTATCTTCCTAAGCCTGTTACTTCATCTCTTTAAAATGGTTGTCTGTCTCACAATGTCATGGTTATATAATTCAAGTGCTTAGTACTAGTGTCTGGCAAATAGGAAACACTATATAAAAATTTACTTCTACTGTTACTATCACTACCACTGTCTTTGTTCATTCTTTACCTGAGATTGCCCTCTAAAATTGCCCTCTAAAAATCTCTCTAGGCTTTAACTCAGAACTCTTTCCCAGCATTCACACACATCTCCCTTTACACACACACATCCTCTCCTTTTTTCATCTCCCAGTTCTCTTATGCTGTTTTTCAATAGCAATGCCCTGACAGCTTTAGGTAGATTTCTACATCTCTGCCATCCCTTGGATTTTATATCCAGGAATTTTCTCGGTTGTTGGTGTTAAGTATCAACATTTTAACAAATATGACAAATCTCTACCCCCAATCAGATAGCAGTTTATCTACAGTGAATTGCACAGATGGCTTTCTCTTTTCCCCCAAATAGCATGAAATTTGATGTTTGTTTTGGCAATTCTTATGTGACCTTATTTAACCCTAGACTACTCAGGGCTTCTGTTACCATGTTTTGAGTATTTGTGCTGAGTTCTGTTTGTGGATTAATTTAGATGAGAAAATAACAAAATTTAGGACACCAAATGCAGAGCCATTTTTGATTTGAGGTCTCTGATCTGATCTTTGTTTTTCTGACAACTTTAGACTACTCAGCTAAACTATTAGAAACAAAAGCTGTTGGAAGATGCCTTAAGACTGCAAATAAATCTTAAAAGAGTTGAGCATAATTTCCCTTTACTAGTGGAATTAGTAACTACCTTTCATCTTCATTTCTTGAGAGCACAGTTCTAAGAAATAGTAGATTAGTCTAATTATTCAAGCCAAAGGAACTGTTTTAACTTGTAACTTCCTTGTGGAGTTCTAGATTGGTATAAGTTTTCTTAGAATTACTTCCCCCTTGCCAGTCTTTGTGGCAAAATATACATGACATGAAATTGAGCGTTTTTAAGTACGCTGTTCTCTGGTATGAAGTACATTCATGCTATTGCACAGCCAACACCACCATTCATTCCCGTAACTTTTTCATATTCCCCATTTGAAATTCTGTACCTCATGTTTCTTTTCTATAGTTTGTTCATCAATAAGAATAGTTCTATAAACAAAATAGTTTAGAAGCAGTATTAATAACTGGGAGAGAGGGAGTTGATTTATGTCTTCATTTGTGGCATTGTTCCTTAACCTCTACTTTGAGAACATCCTAAAACTACCAAAATGATAAGAAAATTCTGTAATATCTTATAATGTTTTATTGTAATCACTGATATTTTATATAGCATTTTAGCTTTCTGTTTAATTAGGTATAATTTGCAAGAAAAAATCTTCAATTTCAAGTGCACAATTGAGTTTTGATAAGTGTAATATAGACATTTAACTATCACCACAATTATAACATAGAACATTTCCATCATCCCAAAGAGCTTCCTAATGCACTGTTGTAGTCAATTCATTCTCTCTACCTTCAACCTCTCGCAACCATTGCGTTGTGCTTTTTGTCACTATACTTTGTCCTTTTCTAGGATTTCATGTAAGTGGCATCATTTTGATTTATCAATAGGTTCTTTCATTTAGACTGATGCTTTTGAGATATATCCATGTTTTGGGGCATATTGTAGTTCCTGTTTGTTACTCAGTAGCATTCCATTAATTTGATAGAGCACAATTTGTTATCCATTCACCATCTATTAAATATTTGTCTTGTTTCTTGTCTTTAACTGCTATTAATAAGACTGCTGAATGCAAGTTTTTATGTGGACATACATTTTCATATATTTCACATGTAAGAGTGGGATTGCTGGGTTATATGGGAAGAGTATGTTTATAAGAAACTGGCCAAACTTTTCTGAAATGGCTGTGATATTTTGCATTCCCCACCAGCAACCTATGAGAGTTTCAGTTATCCCATATCCTCTCTAATACTTGATATTTTCAGTCTTATTGATTTTAGCCATTTTAGTAGGTGTATAATGATATTTCATTGTGCTTTTAATTTGATTTTTCTGATGACTAATGATGTTGAAAATCTTTCCGTGTGCTTAGTACAGCTTTTTAATTTGGTGAAACGTCTGTTCAGATCTCTTGCCCATTTTTAAAGCAAGTCATTTGTCCTGTTAGCACCTACTAATAATAAGAGTTACATGGTATGGATATCAGTCCTTTATCACTTACATGTTTTGCAGATATTTTCTCACAGTCTGTGCTTTGACTTCTAATTTTAACAGTGTCTTTTGAAATGCACTTTTTAAATTGTTATCAAGTACAATGTAGCCTTTTTTCCTTTCATAATTCTTTTATATCCTACCTAAAAAATAATTACCTAGCCCAGGATCGCAAAGATTTTCTTTTTGCCATCTAGGTGTTTTATAATTTTAGCTTGTTCAGTTAGGTCTGTGACTCACCTTGAGTTAATTTTTGTGTATAACATGAGGTAAAGATTGATACATGTAGTTTCTTCTATGTGCATATTTGATTCTTTCAGCACCATTTTTGAAAAGAATATTATTTCCCCACTGAATTACTTTGGCACTTGTGGAAAAAAATCAGTTAACCATTATGAATGGGTCTACTTCTAGACTGTATTTTTTTTCCAATTGGTCTAAATATCTTGGTCTGTATACCAATATCATACCACCTTCCTTGTGTGTTAAGTCCTAAAATCAGGCAGCTTTGTTGTTTCAGCTTTGTTCATTTTCAGAGTCTTTTTGAGTATTCTGGGTTCTTTGT